CCCCAAAACCCCAAAACCCCAAAACCCCAAAACCCCAAAGCTGTTTAACGGAATAGAAATATAAATTTAAATTGGCCTAAGTGAAAATGAAGGAACACATCCGCAAAACACATTTGTGCAAGAAGGTATTACTCTTAATCTCTTACTCATACTCAGTGAAAGTATTTATCTTGAGATTAAAGTATAAACAATCCACCGAATTTCGGGCTCCTTATTCCTTTCGTGATTAAGGTCCGATACTGCAAAAGTTTTACAGTTAGGTATTTTTGCATAATTTACTCAAAACAATTTTTACCCCTGCCAATTGCTTGTTAATCTTAAGCTGAAGTCCTCGAGAAAAGAGTCTGATAAATTATAGGCTCAAAAAGCACTTCTCAGATGGTACGAGGCTGAAAATATCGATGGTATCAAGTCAAATCGATCAATAGCTCCTACTGAAATCTCAAAGGAAATCAACGAGCTTAGTCCATTTCTGCAACAATGAATGGCACATAAAGATTCTTTCGGTGAGAATATCATCTAATATACCATAGACTCAAGGATAAGTATTGAAGAAGATAGAATAGACTCCAAACATCAAGAGTACCAGAACTATTTGCTGTCAAAGCAGCTAGAGTTCAAGAAATATCGTCTAAATATTTTCTACCTGAACCAGTATGGCAACTTGAATATTAACAGCTTTCCATGAATCTAGAAACTAATATATTTGCATAGCTATGCCCTCAAAATTCAGCATTGAATCTTCAAACTCTCCATACTAAAGAAGCTCAAGGCTGCTAAATGTCCATGATGAAACAAGCCGAGGAACCCTAAAAAGAAAGTTAAATAGAACTGGACATCGAATCGACTGAGCCTGCTTAAAATGAAGCAGCCTTTTAATGAAATAACTTGCTCCAGCTGAAGTCAAAATCTGTGAAGAACGCCAGATCTGAGAAATTGAACAACACATCTGCCTCCAATTCCTCTATTGAACAGAAGGACTTGAGCACAGCTTCAGAGAAATGTAAGTAAATTTATTCAGTGAGAAATTCACTATTTCTTAAGATAATTAACGATTAAACATTCCTAACTACCTTTGTAGCCAAGAAAGAGGAAACTAAGCACTTTGATGCACTCGAGGCATATGGGCAGCCTAATCATCTCTTTGAAATCCCCAAAAAGATAGGAAGGAGCACCTTCATTTATGACTCTGAAATTATGAACAACTCTCGGAGTGTCCAGAATAGCTCAAACACTCATAATATTTCTTCTGAAACTTTCGAAAATTACACGAAAAAGCAAAGCAGTAAGAATATTTTACTCAAAATTTAGGGACTGATAGCAGACAGCCTAAAAATCTTAGTCGACAGAGAGGAACCAAAGGATCATCTAAGGATAGACACTCCATGATTTATAAGTAGGTCTTAAAGGTTATTTCTAGGCAAAAAGTTTTCTCTGCTGAAAGGGACTTCTTAAACTCGTCTTCATCTCCGAAATCTAAAAATTGTCCCTCAAATTTTAGATCTATTGGATATGAAGAACCTAAAGACTTTGCAAAGAGAAGAAATAGTGGAGCCCATACAAGAAGTAAGATCTAATTTAGCTTAAGATGTAGCTAACAAAGCTGTAAATTCAATATCAGCAATTATAAACACTAAAGAGATGACGATCAAAGTGAGCCAGAATCAGGGTACAACTTCAGTTAAAAAGTCTCAGAATAATAAAATCTCAAAAGGAAAGAAGAGCAACCATATTTGTAACAAATTTGAGCATAGTGGTAAGCTAGATCAGTAAGCCTATATAGTCCTTTCCAAGAAAAGCAATTATAATGGATACAACCTCAGTCAAGATTACAGTTTCGCACTAAAAGCTTTGGGAACTAAGAAGCTTCAAAATTCGAAATCCAGCGGTAAACTGAACAAAAAGTTGATTTCCCAAAGATCGAATGACCAGAGAAAGAAGAGTAAAGGAGGATCCAAGACTATCAGCAAGAATCCTTCAGTCTCAAAGAAGAGAACCAAATCGTCTAACAGAGTGAAGGAGAATGACTTCAAAAATGTTCTCAAGCCTGCTCAGGATAACAATATCTCCTCTGAGGTTGGAATCCACACGAGGAAATCAGAAAAGTTTCATCTAAATCCATTGAGAGAAGAATTTACATATGAAAAGGAGATACTCAAGCCTCTTATTGCTCCTCAGAATGAAGCCATTCTGAAGGAAAATTACTCTAAAACAGCTCATAAAATAGTAAATAGGCATCGAGGAGTTAGAGAAGAAACTTATTCTCCACATTCAGTGGTTTTACAGGAGAACGGGTTGAGCAAGATTACATGAAATATCTTCAAGTCCCACGAAGGAGGTGACTCTCGGAAGAGTAGTAACTCATCTAAAATAAGTTCGAGCGAAAAGCACCCTCATAAATTATCTCAGAACCAGAACTCTAAATATGTAAAGAAACAGAAGAAAATATCTAAGTATAATAAATCTTTAATGGCGTACGAAGGTGTGAGGAAGGTAACTGAGTATACCCCAAAGCTTGAAACCGACGAAGCAGAATATTCTCCAGACAACCTGGAAGTTTATACAAAGAAATCAGAGCATCTGACTTATCAAAAGCCAATCAGATCTCAGGATATTGATCAAGAAAATGAGATACAGGTGGTTAGCTCTTTGAATTCATCCAGAACCATGACAAAAGAGGTTTGCGAAGATTCCTCAGCTCCAAAAGATGAAGAAATAAGAGTAAGAAACACCCCAACACCTGATACAGATACGAACAAAATTGAGAAAATACTTCCTGATTCTTATGAAGCAACTGAAAAACCAGTTAAAAATATGAATAACCTTTTATCAATGAGTAATGAAATATTTGATGTTATGGATTCCCAGCATCTTGATGGAGACCTCGCTAGTAGTCTGAGTTCCCAAACTTCTCAGCCTGATTATGACAATATGGCGATGGAAGCTTGGGAAGAAGTTGATAAAATAAAGGAAGATAAGCCTCAGAAGCAAGTTAAACTCCATAATTATACAACACCTGAGTCGAACTGGGTAGATGACTACAACAAAGGATTTCCTTCTAAAATAAAGACTAATGATATTGATGTGATTGAAGAAGATATTGAAAATGAGATAGATTCTGATTATAGCATTACTCTTAATGCAAAGAACAATCAGAAGGACTTCCCTGATTCCTTAGCTAATACAGACTCTGAAGGAGAAATAGACTTTCTTAGAATTTCGAAAGATGCCCTCTAAACTGGAAGTACAAATAGGATTCCTTGCATTGCAAAGATTATTAAGAGAGCCATGGCATAAAATTAATTTTAGTTGCCATTAAAATTTTCAAACTCTTAACGAAAAAATGGGGTTTTGGGGTTTTGGGGTTTTGGGGTTTTGGGG